GGTTGGTAGACACAGTGGGTCCACATAGGGTGGGAATGGCAAATCATGATTCCAAACTAATGGTACACATAAGCTCCAGGATCGTGATGGAACGAATGACTCATGAGTGTATTGTTAGTCACTGGCTATCATAAGATTGCATCTCCTAAAGTTGCTCCACTGCTTTGTGGATTATATCTCTAAGTCAAAGACTCGAAGAGTGGGCGCCTAAGAAAACCACCTGCTTCTGTTTGAACTTCTAAGTAGTATGCCAGCATATGTATTTGGTGCTTACTTGTACTTGTTTATGTTCTTAAATAATTATATATATATATATATATATATATAATGAATTTCCATCTTTTCATATATTATAGGATCGAATGATTTTTTGTTGGGATTGTGATCGTGTATTTCATGCACTTTGTATCCCAACTCGATTACCTCGTACCCTTGATGCCCATTGGACCTGTGATATTTGTTTGCATGAAATATATAACAATAATAATAATAATAACAATAACAATAATAGATCTATATTTGATCAACGTACACATACTAATTCTGGTTATGAAATTTATGCAAATAATACTTGTAATACTAATATTAGTAGTAATAATACTAATACTACTACTACTGCTACTGATAATAATAATAGTAGTAATGACAGGAATAATAACAATAATGATAATAATAGTTTTAATCAAATGATGAATACTGGCAATGGTTATTTTACTCATAATGTACAGCATCATACACAAAATATTGCACGTTCATAATGATTCATATATATTCACACTTTTAAATTTTATTATTGTCCTGTACAATTGCTCATTATTAATTTTAATTAATTAATTAATTAATTATAAAAAGAAAGAAAAGAGAATACATGAATAATGATTTTTATTTTTGTTCTTTTTTCTCTTCATTTTGTTTTTTTTTTAAAAGTTTTTTTTTTATTATTTATTTTAACTTTGTTTATTGTTTTATTCTTTGTTGTGCTCCTTTTTCTTTTTTTTCGCTTTTCTTTTTGTTTTCTCCCCTTCGTCCTTTCGTCTCATTATCATTGATCAATATTTACTGTTATTTATATTGTGTATATCAGCTTTAATGTTTTTTCGCAGTGATGATATATATATCTATGTAAATGTATATTGAACAAGTGTGAAATTCTGTTTATCTATGCATTTCATACATGTGCATTATATTGTAATTTGTTTATCAATATGGTATATAAAAGAAGAGAAATCAAGTGTTTCATTTACTTAGAGTTACAATAGGCTCTACGTGGAATTATATAATATTATATACATATTAAAGTAAGTAATATGTATGTATCTTTAATAACATTGTGATTATTTGTTTTCTTATTGTTAATTATTTCTTATGTTGTTAACTTTAAACAACAAGTAAATAGTTTGTAATCAAAATGTTGATTATCATAAACTGAATAGTTTTTCATGACTTATATATATTAGTTGAATGAAATTTGGTCATTCTTGTCTCTTTCTCTCTCTCTCTCGCTCTCTCACACACACACACATCTTTTATTGTTATTATTATTATTATTTAGGTGTCAAATTTGTTGTTTGTGCTCAATTCTAATGACTGTTAATTATTGTTTATTTATTTATTTATTGTTGATCAGTCAATGTATCACCCTCCTCCTTAATGAGTAACTTTTCTTTTATTATTATTTTTTTTGTAGTGCAATCTATTGTTAGGCAAATATTTAGGGATAGGGATACTTAAATTGAGTTGTACAATGAATTTTAATGACTATTTGCATATGCACATCAATTCTGTGTGATAATTAGTTAATTTTTTTTGTTTGTTTCTTCTTCTTCTTCTTTTCTGTTCTGTTCTCGATGTTGCTTTTGATGTTGTCTGTCACAGTTAGTTCAATTAATTTAATCATTATAATCTGATAACTTATTTTCTTTCTTTTTTTTTGTTTTTTCATTTCTTTATTTATGTATTATTATTATTATTAATTTTCATTACAATTTAAATGATTCATTTTGATCTTGTTTTCGTCTTTACTACTCCTCCTCCTCTTATGAAATATTTAGTTATATTTTGTTGACATGAACTTTTACAATTTGTGTGTAAAATTGTTATATACCATTGTGGTGTCAGGCGCCGATTGTTATTATTATTATTTCAAAAGCTATAAAAGGCCTATAATACACAAAGTAGTTGAATTGATATACAATTACATAAATATTATACATATTCCACATAATATACATAAAAATCAATGAATGAATCTTCATTTCGTTTCATATTATTATTACTTCTATGATTATCATTGTCACTTGGAAAGAAAGCACAACAGAAATATAATGTTTCTTTTGTTTTTTTTTTGTTTCCCAAACTCTACTTTGATTTGCAATAAAGAATTATTTGTTTTTTTCTAGGTGGTTTTTTTTGTTGAGAGAAGATGTCCCAATTTAAAGTGTTCTGATGTTTTCGAGTTAGTGAGTATTTTTGTTTGAACAGTGGTTACATGGACTAAGTGACATGAAATTATTAAGTGATATTTTTTTTTAAAAAAAAATCGTCAACAAGGTGTATTGTCTCCATTCGTGCATGGCTTAGTCGTACTAAAACCAAACATTTCAATGTTTAAATATAGGGCTATTGAAGGTGATCGGCAAAAGAACAATAGCGTTCACAAGTTTACATATACTTTTTTCTGACGAGTGTGATCCTAGGTTCAGGGTCTTCAACGTCTAACCACCCAGCACCAAAATATAATGCACACAATGCCGATGTGGTTTGTTACCACATTGTAAATCGGACGGTAATCCCCGGGTATCTTTATACAGGATAATACTCGTAATTGTTGTCGAAATTGTATTTATTCACATCATACTATCACATTTTAACTGACTGAACTTACATGTAAGATCCGATCAGATGTTCAAGTAGCTTGGTCTCAGCTTATTCATTTGGTGATATCCGTCAATTAAGACATCGCTTTTCACTGTTTAAATGAATCTCTTTCTGCAATGTATGTTTACTATCGTGAACTGGTGTTAAGCCTGTATATCAAATCTTAACTTCACCAATCAGTGATGAATTGACAAAAATTGTGTTTCAAAATGACTTTCAATTACGGTAATTGTTATCAAATGTTTTGCTTGTGTTATGCTGCTGAGGTAATAACGAAATGTATTGCGCAAATATATAATTTTGATAAACTTCATCTTCTTATTGTATTATCGTAATTTATCAAAAGGACAAATTGTTTTAATATCACTTCATCGGACTTACTTACGCCTGTTACTCCCAATGGAGCATAGGCCGCTGACCAGCATTCTCCAACCCACTCTGTCCTGGGTCTTCTTTTCTAGTTCCATCCAATTCTTGTTCATTTTTCTCATGTCTATCTCCATTTCTCGGCGAAATGTGTTCTTTGGTCTTCCTCTTTTCCTTTGACCTTCAGGATTACATGTGAGGGCTTATCTTGTGACACAGTTGGGTGCTTTCCTCAATGTGTGTCCTATCCACTTACAGCGCCTCTTCCTGATTTCTTCCTCCACTGGGATATGGTTTGTTCTCTCCCACAGTATGTTGTTGCTAATAGTGTCCAGCCAACGGATTCGAAGTATTTTGCGTAGACAACTGTTAATAAACACCTGTATTTTCTGGATGACGGTTTTCGTAGTTCTCCAGGTTTCTGCCCCATATAGTAGAACTGTCTTGACATTTGTATTGAAAATCCTGACCTTGGTGTTGGTTGACAGTTGCTTTGAGTTCCAGATGTTCTTCAGTTGTAAATATGCTGCTCTTGCTTTGCCGATCCGCGCCTTCACATCTGCATCAGATCCACCCTGTTCATCAATGATGCTGCCCAAATACGTAAAGGTTTTTACATCTTCCAAATCTTCTCCGTCAATTGTGACTGGATTGGTGCATTCTGTGTTGTATCGGAGAATCCTGCTTTTCCCTTTTTGTATAGTGAGACCTACTGCTGCTGCCACACTGTTTGTCTTCTCCTGCATCTGTTGTTGCGTTTGGGATAGAAGGGCCAGATCGTCTGCGAAGTCTAGATCATCCAACTGCATCTTAGATGTCCATTGTATCCCGCGCTTCCCTTCAGACGTTGACGTCTTCATGATCCAGTCGATCACCAGGAGAAAGAGAAAGGGTGAGAGTAAGCAACCTTGCCTAACACCGGTCTTCACTTCGAACGACTTTGTCAACTGTCCTCCATGCACAATTTCGCAGTGTAATCCATCATATGAGTTCTGTATGATATTGACTATCTTCTGAGGCACGCCGTAGTGTCGAAGAAGTTTCCATAGTGTTGTTCTGTCCACGCTATCAAATGCCTTTTCGTAGTCGATGAATTCCATTCAATTGATTGTTCCACAATGATCCGTGAATTTGCGATTTGGTCTGTACACGATCTATCCTTACGGAATCCTGCCTGTTGGTCTCGAAGTTGGGCGTCTACGGAGTCCTTCATCCTATTTAACAATACCCTGTTGAAGACTTTTCCCGGTATTGAGAGAAGGGTGATGCCCCTGTAGTTATCACATTTGCTGAGATTGCCTTTCTTTGGTATTTTGATCAAAAGTTCTCCTTTCCAGTCTTCTGGTACTTGTTCCTCATCCCAAATCTTATTGAAGAGAATGTGGAGTATTCTTGCAGTTGCCGCTACGTCTGCTTTTAGTGCCTCTGCTGTGATGTTTTCCGGTCCTGCTGCTTTGCCACTCTGGATTTGTCTGATGGCCATGCTGATTTCTTCAATTGTTGGTGGGCCAACATTGATTGGGAGGTCCGTGGATGCTGCTTCGATGTTGGGTGGGTTCAGTAGAGCTCGTCACTTCATCGGAGCTTTGTATCAATAATTTGATCTCGCAAGTGATTATTAATAGACTACACTAATTGTAATAAATTACAATCTAAAGTAAAAACCACATTACGACTATCTACTAAAACATTCGGGTATTTATTCCCGATATCTGCGATAGATTCCAAGTATTCCTTAGTATAAGAAAAAGAAACAATTCAAAGTAGTGAAATTTCATCAACTGCAAATCTTCATTTATTTTCATTGCAAAATGATCCAAACATTACGAAAGACAAAATAAATTAGATGTGGTTTTGTTGCTCGTGTCTTTTCATAGTAACGTTTTGTTTTAAAAAAAGAAGAAACATTGACATTGTATGTTTAAAAATAATTATGATTAGTAAAGAATGATTAAAAGGTGTAACAAGATAATCAATATCACTCTCTATAAACATACACTACAAAGGTAGAAATCGATAATATAAAGAGAACAAGTGATAGATATATGTACAATTTTATAAACAATAACAAAATATAATGAATAAAGCTATTACATAAACTCTCTTAATGGATCCCATCGTTCATCAGTTAGATCTTCATCTTCTTCTTCTTCGTCATCATTTTCTAGGTCACCGGAATCTTCACCAATTGATACATCAGAGATTGGACCTATTACATCTTCATCATCTGCACTGGATTGATTTATATCTTCTGGACTATCATCGGCACCAAATAGACATCGTGTTAAATTACCATGACCTCTTTTTTGATAAGCTATATTATTTTCATATTTGCATGATTCATATCTATCACGTCGAGAATCATACAGTATTTCTCGAGTACGTTCAGCATCAGCATAATCATAACCTTCAGGGCAAGTGTTCCATTCTTTATTTTCTGCATCTTCTGTATCTTGTATCCACCAATTAGTATTCGGTTCAGGATCAGAGTGTATTGCTGGAGAGACAGATAAACGACTACATTTATGATGATGTGAACCAATAAGCCAACGTTTATGACTTGAAAGGCGATGTTTAGGAACTTTGTGAATGTGCTCGTCAGGGCCCCAACCCTAAAAACGGAATACACGTTTATTCCATGAAATGAATTTATCTTGGAAATCATAAGATTGATTAGAGAAAAAAAATACACTGGTGATTAGAAAACTAATAGTTTGACCAAATGTCACAGACAGGAATGTCATACCTCATTCTGTCAAATAAGACTTGAAGTCTTAATGTTTTTAAGAGAGTTGTTAATGATGTGATTCGGTAGCCAAGTACACAACTTCGTGTATTGGTTTAGTGTGAAAACTAGAAAATAATTGGACTATTTGAACCGACATATTCTGTTACAAATAACTTCAGAGGCATGAGTATGAGAGTACTTACAGCAGAATTAAAATAGCGAGTACCAGCAGATTAAAAAAGGGATCCTTATCAAGATACTGAAGAAAAGAGATCTTAGTAGGTGTGACAACTCAAGAGAAATTACACTATTTTCCGAACTAGGCAAAGTTTTAACAGGATGTCGCTGAACCAAAAAATAATTGAGTAAACATCAAACTTCGGGATCAACATGCTGGTGGTTTACGTAAGGATCGGTTACGTACCGACCAAATCACGATAATCCAGTTAACTGTTGAGCAATCAGCTTGACGGAACTTATCACTATACATCAACTTAATAATGAGAAACCATTCAACAGCTTGATTTTGAGAACTTGATAGAATGTTCTTCCAGACTATGGAGTATTTCAGGAAATCGTCGCTATCATTGAGAACTTTTACTACAAACTAGATTGTCAAGTCGTGTATGAAGAGCAGCTCACAAATGTATGGTGCTAGACAATTGTGCCCACTGCAGAATAACAATGAAATCTTTGCAATTAGACTTTCTAGCTTCCAGAACTTAACAACATCCAAAGCATCTATCTGAATTGCTAAGAAAAACTTTCACCATTTCAATATTTAATGCACACCAAACGATATAGAGTATGCAATTTAAGTTATTCACAATAAAATAATCTTATGTATTTGTTTTTTTACTTTTGGATAATCAGCATCGTATGAATCACAATCGCTGTCCGATTCATTAAAGAAATTATCATTATCACTGTTAATTGATTTCATTGATCCAAACATTAAATCATCACATGAGCGTCGACGCCGACTTTCCCTACAGAAACGTTGATCTAAACGGCGAATTTCGCGGTCAATTTTTGTAGTTTCTACAGGGGATGCACGATGACGTCTACGTACTAGTAATTCCCTTTGTACCTGAATAAAATGTGAAATAGGATAGAAAGGTAAAATGAACGTATTTGATGTGAATTTTCGCCATAAATTTATATCAACTTAGAAAAGTATTGAAATTAGAAGGCATTTTTGTATGGACATTTTGTGAGAGACTAATAGGTCCTGGGTTCGAATCTTGCGAGGCGGGATCATGGGTGTGCACTGCCGAGTCCCACAATAGGACGAAACGGCCGTCTAGTGCTTCCAGGTTTTCCATGGTGGTCTAGCTTCAGTTGACCCTTCTGATACATATATATATCTGAGTTTCAATTAGAATGAAACAGCTATCAATCGTTTTAGAATGATAACACGGACAATAACAGTTCAAGGAGAAATGTTGTTACTACTGAAAAAAGATCCTCCAAATTGATAACTAATGGAAACATGTTGGCTGAAAATTTTATGTCAAGGTAATTAATTTTAAAAAGTAAGAGTTTAATTTTAGAGAACAGTAAGTAAACAACCTACAAAACTCGTGTCTTATGATTGTTTACTTTTTCTTCAAAAATGACTTTTAGTCTTAGAAAGATGTAAATCATTTATCCAACTAGACAGTTAGTCAGTTACCTACAACGTAGGAACAGACACATATATGCATCGTTCTAAGTTGCCATACCCTATTAGCACAGCAAGACGAACACCGGGTTCATAGAAGTAGTTAACTCAATAGTGTAAGGTTATGATACAGGGAAAAAGAATTAGTTCGTAGAAAGAAAGATATGAAGCGAGAGAGTTATGACAATTTAATGTTGTGGAAGATTGAAAACTCTTTAAATACTTAACTATAATAATCTTCAAGAACATTGTTCATGTATGATGATGATTCAAATCCCGTAGTGGTAGAGGTAGTTAGAGCATAAGCAGTAATCGGAAACGTTAGGGTTTTGAGATGTTATTTAAAGAGTATAATACAGTGAAATAAATTTGGGAAGAGAAAAGAGACAAGAAGGAATAAGGAGATCAAAATTTGGGAGAACACAAAGAGTGGATGCACCTGCGCTATTGCAAACGATTTTGAGCCATGTCATACAGCTTTCTTCCAACCTACTCCCTTACACCATAAAACATCGCACGTCGGGGTAGTCGGTGGTTGGGCATACGTAACACGTGTCCCAGCCATCTCAACTGATGAAGTTTCACTACTTCATCAATTGATTTGCCATCCTTACCTAGTACCTGTTTCCTAACAACTACATTACTTACTCTATGGTCCCAGGATATACGAGCAATGTTTCGAAGAAACCTATGATCGAATACTATGATGGAAAACAAGTTATATTGGCTTAAACATTCAATATTTCAGTACATTTAAAGATCTTCAAGTAAAAATATTTCCAAATTTGTATAATAAATCATCAAGAAGATAAGTTTGAATGATCCTTAATGTTATGCACAATTATTGTTTTGGATTTTCTAATCAACATTAAACTGAATCTTTCAATTCTTTACCTGCCAATTTAATGTTCTACGATCACATTCCATTGGATTTTTCATTAATTCATTAGTTGTATTATGAGATTTATGAAATTTAGTTAATTCAATAACAGATGTTTGATTGTCTGATGAAGAATCTGTTGATGAAGAATCATTAAAATTATCTATAGCTGGATCATAGATTTCAGCTTCTCGAGGAACTGATGTAGCTCTTTCAGTTACTTCTTCAAGAACAGCATCTTCAATTTCAGCGAGCATTTTACCAGTTGCCTATATAATGTTCATTTTGTGAAAAGAAAAGCAAAATGGTATATATGTATGCATATAACAGACAATCTACTATTCCTAACCGCCCCACAAACCTAACATTTACATAATAATATACAAACCAGTAGATTTCGTTCATCAGAAACTTTATAGAACACAACAGAAAATCAATTGAAAATGGTGTCAAAGAGCAGTTAATATCTTATTACTCGTGTAATAACACTCGGTTTTACTTCATCTAATGTTATAACGATTGGTTTTCCACATTTACATGTATGGGACGTTAATTTACTTTAGATGAATATCTATACTAGATTCCATCCCAGTGTCTATTCTACAGGACTTCAACACAACTCAGATGATCAAGAACACGTGATTAGCCTGACCACAACGTAAATATATTTCTACACTAAAAGCCGGCACAATCTAACAACAATGAACAATCATTAATAAGTGAGTAATAATAAGAATAAGGGAATATATAATTGATCTGACACCTGTCAGACTATCTACATGTCTGACTAAGCAGACACCTAATCATTCTCCTCCACGCTCACACATCAACTCGCTAACTTATTAACAAATAATTTAGTTTTGTTTAAAATCAATCCAACTATAAGCCATACGTTTTCACTTGGTATTGTTTTACTTGAATATTCCCATTGATGTTTGAGACTGCAATTGATCAGTCTCTTATTGGCATCCAGCTGACGAGTCCCAAATAAGACGAAACGCGCGTCCTGGATTTTACTACTAGCCGCTATCCATCTTTGCTTATAATGCATGTAAATTAAGGCAATACACACAGTATGCACATATCACAATAAGAGACTGATCAACTGCAGTCTTAAACATCAATGGGAAGATTCAAGTAAAGCAATACCAAGTGAATTAAACTTCACCTCAATGCACAAGCAAGTGGCTATCAGGATTCAGTAGCTAAGTGGATAATGCGATGGCGATTGAAGCGGACGGTACTGGGTTCGAATCCCACAGTGAACATCGACTCGGAGATGGAGGTACATCCAGCCGACGAGTCCGAAATACGACGAAACACGCGTCCTGGATTCCACTGCTAGCCACTATCCATCCAGTTTTCAATGAAGTTCCATTCCATAATAAAAATACGATTTAACCAGTAAGTTATCAATTCAATAATTTTGAACAATATGAATTGTATACATAATTTGTCTCTGTCCAATTTATAATTTACATCGTGAAATCAGTTTAGCTAGAGAGTATTGAATAGTTGTATCGTCACTTCATCAATCCGTCAAGGATTGATTTTATGACTTTTAGACCTTTCAGGAAATGTATTAACTTGAAGTTAACGATATGGAATCTCGTAGGAAATTTTTTCCACACTGACCAATTCATGATATTATGCAACTATTTAAACAAATTAATATTTGTGGTTTACAATATCTGTGAATGTTTTTTTTATAATACAGGTAAGTACAAGCTACAACTATGTACTGTTAAAACTATGAAATTGAGTTACAGAAAATGTTTTCCTGAATAAAATGACCTACATCTGGAGGTAAGTGCATCAAAGGATTATCTGCCAATACTAAAGTTGTTGGAGGTGGTAAAAAGTCACTGAGTTGAGCTTTAACTTCCTCTTCTCCTTCAATTTGTTCATTGGTTAAATCGGAATGCTCATCCTCTTCACCATCATCGTCATCCCCATTGAACTGTTCTGTGTTTCCTGTGCTTTCTCTCTCTTCTTCATCATCGTTTAATTCTATGAGATTTTTTGTTGTTGTATATTCATTGAAATCTTGATCTCCTTCATCTTTAATTTCTGTCACATAATGATCAACTACTACTGGACTTTTCACTAGTAACTTGTCAGAATTACATAATAATGATGAAGTTGATTTACATAGATCACAATTTATAATACTATTATTTTGACAAATTTCACTATGATCGCATAATGATTCATCAAATAAACATGCTAACTTTGAATTTTCTGTTGAAATATTTCCTTGCTTTGAGGAGTGTTCTGTGAATGATGATGATGATGATGATGATGATGAATTATTTGGTTGTCTCTCATGATGATCAACATCTGATTCTATAGAGGAATCAGATTTCAATGATGGTGATGACGAAGAAGATGAAGAACTTTCATTTCCAGACATTATTCCACCCTGATCATTTATAGTTACTAAATTATGCGTAAAACAAATAAATAAACGAGAATAATAATAAAGTAGAGTTACCGGCAAACGACATTGTCAGTAGTAAACAATGTATAACACGGAACATATGTACATCGGTTCAAGTTGCTACAATATTTCAAGACTAAGGTCAGAATAGTCGAAGTATTAACAATATCAATGATGATAGAAAAGATTAAGGACGGACAATATATATTTGTGAAGAAATAATGAATTCATGAAATTAAACTTATAAGACAAGTTTAAAAATCAAGATTTAATGAGAAGACATAATGAATACGTCTGTATCATTGCTAACCTCTGCAGAGGTTCGGCATCGTGTGTTCGGGCACAGAGATGATAACTCAATTGGTGTCACCATCTTGAAACACCGACTTCGGTGGCTTGGACATGTTCTCCGAATGTCGTCCCAGAGAATTCCACGTCGTGCATTATTTGCCGACTCTGGGACTGGTTGGAAGAAGCGGAGAGGTGGTCAGTGCATGACATGGTGTCGTGGCATGAAAGAAAGCTGCAAAGGACTGGCTTGTGTTGGTCCTTCACGACTCCCTGGCTGGGGTCCGAGAGATGGTGCTACACAGTGGCTAGAGACGTTATCAGATATGGCTCAGAATAGAAACCAGTGGCGATCCTGCTGTAACCTTCTTTTACTTTCTTCATAAAAAGTGGTTGTGTCTCTTTTACCTGAAAGATTTCTTCTGATTGTACCTCTTCGTCATTACTCTCTTTGTCTTTTGCGTTCCTTAGTTTTTTTTTCTTTTTACTTCTCTTCGAATTCCCATTGTTTTGTGTGGCGCATATATATTGGCGCTCTCTTGTACCAATATTTATGTGTTCAAATAAATAAATAAATAAATAATCATTGCTAACGATTCTGAACCGTGTCATTGAGTTATCAATTATGAATAGAATTATTGAGTAGTTTTCATTATATCAAAGTCTTGATAGTTTAATTTTACATCATCCTTTACATGTTAGATATGATAAAGATCCAATGTGGAGGTTCACAATAATCAGTTGAATTCTACTCTACTATGACTCATGTAATCTGTAACAATCGATGGAGACTAGAACCAGTTATGTTTAAAAAGAGTCAGTTGTTAACTTTCAACTATTTTGATAACAAAATAGAAATTATGTGAAGAACTTAATATTTAAAAAACTATAGTTTTAATTAGTCATAGAAAATCTACTAATTTAAACTCCCATACTCAATTTATTAACTAAATTTTAATAGTTGACATCATGAGTCAATTGAAGGCAGACCACTATGGAAAACCTGGAAGCACTGGACGACCGTTTCGTCCTCGTACGGGACTCATCGGCAGTGCATATCCACAATTCTGAATCGCGAGATTCGAACCTAGGAATGGGGTTAAACCGGTTCTGTTGTGAGATAGTAACTAATTGAAGACAATGGTGGATGTGTCGCTCAATTTCGTGGATTAGTTGAAGTTAGACATTAACACCGTTGGACGCCGATCGGCTTAGTGGTCTAGAGGTTAAGTATTCACGCGCGAAACCGACAGGTCTTGGGTTAGAATCCCGCTTGCGGGATCGTGGGTGTGCATTGCTGAGGAGTCCCATACGAGGACGAAACGACCATCCAGTACATCCATGTTTTTCATGGTGGTTTAGGTTCAATTAACTAATGATCTCAGCTATTAAAATTACTATAATATCCACAAAACCCGCTTCTGATATTAACTAAATAATTCACGCTTCCCTAATGAGCATACATAAATTGTGTAGGAAAATGTTAATATTTTGAAATAATTAAATATAAATGACGAATAAACCAATAAGTAGGTACAATGCGTTTATTGCATTTTTTAAATAGTGTGACTTTTTTATATTTTGGATTGATATTATAAATGGATCAATGTTAGGCCATCATTGAAAACTTGGAAGCACTGGACGATCATTTCATCCTAGTATGGGACTCCTTAGCAGACAGCCCGTTTGCCACCCTCAAGGTCAAATAGTAGGTCGGAAATTGAAAACAAGGCAGGGAAAGATGATTGTGCAAAGCTCACGTTATCAATCATTTTGCCAATTAAATCTTCCTACTCATATTGGTCCTCTCATTCGCCGAGTAGGTCTAGGTCAGTCCTAGAAAGTGTATACCATAAATGAATTGGACTGTAAAACATAACAAGATGTTGGCTAACTTCAAAATGCATAGTCTTCATAAGGTTGCATACTAATAAACATTTATCTATGTACATAGCACATATAATTAATTTCTTACCATTATCAATTAATGAAATATTCTTCACTTTTGCATTTTCATGATGAGATAAATCTCGACGGTGTCGTTTATGATGTCTCTTAGTTTTTGATTTCTTTCTCAATTTACGTTTTCGATCGTTTTCTCGTTCTGTACGAATAGAATCTAAAGCGGATCGGACTACACTTGGATCTAGACGAGGTATTTTCTGTTCACTAAATATATGGTATCAGAAGAAAAAAAAAGAACAATGGTTGTTAGAAAAATTATACTTCATTTGAACAAAATAACTTACATAGTTCTGTTCATCTAATGACTTATTTTTCTAAAACACGACAAACAATAAGTATCTTATTATGTGCTAATATATTAATTTTCTTTGAATTAGTCGAATGAATAATGAAAACATGAACCAACTACTTACTACTTAGGTTAAGTCAGTAACAAATCCAGCTAGGATGAAAAAAGTTCCAACTTATTCCATCAGTAGTAAAGACAAGATAAATAAATATCAAGAGCCGATTATGTGGTCTTAATGATTCATTAGTTTAGTGATAAACGATGGATACTAAATGCAAGTTTCAATTTAAACATTAACACTAAGATGTATATGTACGTCTAATCGAAGTCGTAAATAGAATGAAACATGCATTTCGAACTTCAGTGCTAAACACTATCATCGACTCTGTCAATTTAGGGACTATCAAATCGGATTTTGTATTATTTTTCTACAGTTTTATTGTTAAGGTTGGCATTATTTTCAGTGACGAATTTTAGTGTGTACCTGTTATTTACTTCTCACATTACTTTGTTACTGAAATGTCATGTTATCCAAACTAATTGTTATACATTGTAATGAATTAAATAGCATGAGTCTTGTACCATAACTCCACCTGTACCTCTTTTAGGGCTACTGCCGGTCCCAAGCACTCAAGAAGGAGGAGGATTGGGCATGGAGTCGCCAACTCCATCGCGTAAAAAAAAATTGCTAAATAAACGCTAGTTAGAAAAAAATAAACTAAACAATTCAAATTTTGGACTCCGAGTTGAAGGAAAAATTATGACGACTCATGATGAAAACCTAGATCCTTCGGAAGTCACGAGGCCGATGCCCCTTCCAACAACAGCAAAAGCGTTCTAATTACATGGGACGTTCATACAATATATGAGACCGAGAGAACCAGTCAAATATCTGCCTAAATAGGGAGATACAACTTGACGATGCTCGGAATCAGTGAAACCCATTGTATCCAAGCTGAACAGCAAAATCTACATACAGGAGAAACGCTGCTGTAATCCGGTCACGAAGAAGAAAATGCTCCACACACTCAAGGAGTTGTAATCAGGCTGTTCAGAGAAGCACGTAATGCACGTATAGGATGGGAGTCTCATGGATCAAAAGTCGTCAGAGCATCCTTCAAAATAAAGAGGGAGGGGATCACAATGAATGTTATCCAATGTTATGCACCCACCAATAACAGCAAGAACGATAATAAAGATCAGTTCTATGAGAGGCTGCAATCGATCATAGCGAGTTGTTCAGGAATGGACCTGATCATCCTGATGAAAGACTTAAAAACGAAAGTTGGAATGGACAACATCGGGAATGAAGATATCATGAAACGATATGGACTAGGAGAAAGGAACGATAATAGTGATAGATTTGCAAGTCTATAAGCCTTCAACAAAATGGTTATAGGCGACTCAATATTCCCACACAAACACAGAGATGAAGCTACATGTGTATCACCGTATCACACTACACAGAACCAGATCGATCATATCTGCATTATTAAAAAATTCAGGTCAGTGAAAGACGTGAGAAGCAGGAATGGAGTTGACATAGCTTCGGATCACCACCAACTGTTGGTTTTCATGATGAAACTGAAGCTAAAGAAGTACTAGACAACTGGAGAAACAGCATTACAAAGGTCCAAAACAACCTTTCTTCTGGTTACTGACAAACTCGACGAATTCAAGATAAATCAACGACAGGTTCCAAGCCTTAAAGGACTACTGAAAGAATAAACTACTATAGAAGAAAACTGAAAAGGGATCAAATAAGCCTTAACTTCAACGTGTTAGAGAGTTCTGGGCCGCAACAAACATCGTCATAAGGAATGGACCTCTATGCAAATCGTGGACAAGACTCAAAAGGAAGAACAAGAATCAACAACAGCCGAACAAGAACAGAGAAAGTCAAGGCAAAAGATGAATACACAGGTGCAAACAAGCAAGTGACGAGCATGAGAACTAACAAGCACAAATACGTGGAAGAGAGCTTCCAGAGAAGGAAATATGAGACAACTATGTGACACAATGAAGAAACTGGAAAGTGAATATAGTAAACCAGAGAGACTGGTCAAAGATAGAGAAGGCAAGTCAATCACCGAGATTCAAGAACAAGGGAATACATGGGTAGAATATTTTGAGGAACTCTTGAACAGACCAGCTCCACTGAAAGCATTCGACAGTGTGGATAGAAGGACTTTATGGTGGTCGACTGGATTATGAAAACCCCCACATCTGACGGGAAGCACAGAATACAATGTACAGCTCGGAATCAACTAGATGACCTAGCCCTCCTATCCCATACACATCCACAAATTCAGGTCAAGAAAGACAGTGCAGCAGCAGCCTCTGCATCGGTAGCTCTCAACATACACAAGGGAAAAATGAAGATCTTCAAATGTAACACATAGAACACCTACCCCATCATACTTGATGGGGAAACTGTGGAACAGGTGGAAATTTCCACATACATGGACAGCATCACAGATGAACAAGGATATCTGATGCAGATGTAAAGGAGAGAATCGGCAAGGCTGGGAAAGCATTGGAATTAAAAACAACTATTAACTAATATCAAAGTCAGAATCTTCAATACGAACGTCGAGACACTCAGTCATACTGTACGGAGATGAAAATTGAAGAACTATTACGGCAATCATCAAACAAGTACAAGTATTCATAAACACTTGTCTATACAAGATACTCAATGTCCTCCGTTGGACGGATACCATCAGCAACAACCTAATGTGGGAGAGAACAAACCAGATTCCTGATGAGGATGGAGTTAGGAAAAGACTGTCGAAGTGGATAGGGTATATATTACGAAATCACTAAACTGCATCACGAAGCAAGCGCTTACTACCTGAAATCGTGAAGGGGAACGGAAAAGAGGAAGACCGAAGAACACACTGCGTCGAGAATTGGAAGCAGACATGCAAAGAATCGATAGAAACTGGAAAGGATTGTCAAGGACAGAGTTGAATGTAGAATGCCGGTGAGCGGCCTATCTATTCCATGAGGGGTAACATGCGTAAGTAAGTAAGTCTTGTACCATATACACACGAGTGATCATTACTGCATTCAGTGTTGATGTAACTTACAACGCACAAATCTATATAATTGGTTTCGAGTCACACTCTAAATATGAAGTCTAGTGATGTTAACGGTTTATCCAAACCGAAGTAGATTAAAAGTAGTTCAAACCTGAGACTTAATAGCTGAAAGTTTGACAATTTAATCACAGAGCTACCAAACCATTCAAGTTCTCAATGAGTTTTCAGCTGAAATCGATCTGCGTTGCAAACTATATTAAGTTTAACTTTAATTAATTAGTAAACTGTTCATAACGAATTATTATCTAACAACTGATACTTAACTTTTTTCTCGTCTATGTATATATAGTTTGATCACAGTGTTGTATATATCGCCTACTGAAGAATCCAGTAAACATCATATGAAGATGATCTATATATGACAAGATAGATAAAGATCAAGTTCCATAACTTACATGATTCCCTATATTAACCTACTATTTAAATATATGTGTGTAGATCCAATACAACATACCACCACCTATAACAAAGTCGCTACTATTTATTCATAAAAGTATGTTAAAATTAACGAAATAGAAAATTTACGTGTTTTACGTGAAATACATATTGAAAACCCACATGTCATCACTCATATCAGAAGACGGTTCTAATTCCATAGATAATCGATGATGTTTATGTGAATGCTTATGATAATGTTTATCTTGAAGATGAGTATGATGTTGAGAATGACGATGGTGGTGATGACGACTATGACCGTGGCGATGATGACGTGGACGATTATCATTATGCGTAGAATGATGATGAAGTCCATCAGAAGGATTAATGTGGGAATGATGATGATGATGATGATAATAGTGTCGTCGCATACGTTTTGCATATCGAATTGTACCTGGAATCGGTTCAATATCCGGATCAAAATCACTTGGATGAAAATCACGATCTAATGGATACTTTGATTCACATACATGATCCCAATGATAATGACAAGACCATAACCATTGCGGTGAAACAAGATGAAGTGAATGTGAAGATGAATTATTGTTTACTTGAAGATTATTACTATCTATTGTAAGATATTTTAATGCAGCATGTACTTTTTCTGTTCCTCTACGACAAGCAATTAAATGTGTTGTATAGTGAGTAGAAACACTATGCACAATACCATGTGATCTAAAGAAAATTTTATTAAATACAAAACAAGTAAGGCTTACAAATATTTGCAAGGAATAACACGTTTCCTTTAAAAAGGTAATATATTAACTAATCAATCTTTCTTTTATATATTATTACCATTGAAGTAACTACTTCCATGAATTCGATGTTCATCTTGTTGTGCTAATGAGGTGTGGCAACTTGGACCGATGCATGTATGTGCCTGGTCCTAAGTTGTAGCTGACTGACTGACATTAACTAATACTAATTAACTGAATATCTGTGCTTGAAACACCAAGTATTTATGGGTGGTGAGTTATATTGATACTTTAAAAAGAAAACAATAACATCAAAATATTAGTAACTATGTACTTTTGTTTTGTTAGTAAGACTTCAAGCGGTTACTTCGTTCGGTTATTGATTGTCAACCTATAGACTAATGGTATAATATTGAAACGCATGTAAGACTTATTCAAGACATTTCAAAAAAAATGAAAAGATAAAAAAATTTACCTAATTGAACATGGAAATTATTGTGATTTATTTAATATGGATAAAATGTAGCACATTTGAACGCTAAAAAGAATATGGGCCAAACATCATAAAGCGATAATTTCAAAGAGAAATAAAGGAGGGGATTATCTTCACTGTCCCTGAACACACATTGTCAAACCTCATGGTGTTGCTACCGGACTTCAATAATATCCCACGGACGGCGGTAGTTGGGCACGGAGCGTCGGTAAATGTAATGTCAGTTGGCGAAAAAGAAGAATAAGAGCGAATAAGGAACAAAAGTAGAATTATCATCACTGGCTCAGGTTCTACTTTTTTTAAGTAGTCAAAGTGTGAAGGAGCACTGTGATATGATAAAGATTTTTTGAATCATGTTACCTGTTCAAAACAATATTCATTTAGCAGTGGTTAAACTGGTGTTACTAAAGTTGTGTATATATTCAGACATTATCGATGTGATTGGAAATTATTTTTGAATAGACCATATCAGTTCGAATAAGTTTGTAATGGTGAATTAATGAGGTGTTACAATTATTAATCTGTAAAGTATCGAAATTACGTGAAGGAATACATTATTCCCTTTTTACCTCTTATTCAATTATCAGGATTCTATTCACGTAGAGAAATCGGAAATGAAGTATGGAACCGAATAAACATTGATTTCAGATCTTATGTTGCTGATAACTGATCCACTAGAGGAGGTCCATTCTACACCTATTTGTGAATTTCTTGAACAACAGTTTTGAAATGTGATACTAATTTGTTTTGCAACACATAAGTGATTGAAACAATTTAGATATCAAGAGATTTGTAACAGAGAATGAAATGACGGTTCCCTTATAGTTGTCTACAATGGAAAATCTGAGATGTGTAAGACCCAGTGCAGTAGTTTAGTTGTTGAGAGATCAAGTTCCTCATAAGCTCATAGGTTCAAGCCGTGCTTTGGTTTCATCAGCCAATATGACTTATTTTGAGCCATTTTACTTAAAATCTGCTTCAATACCAATCATAAGCATTACAAGAATCTGATAGTTAAGAAACTAACGAATTCACACATGTCACATACTACAAACGATCACGAACTTCTTTTGACGATCCCTTAGCTTTATCTGTAAAGAGCACTTCAGCGAATGACTATTTATGTATATTCCGCGCATTAAACAGATGACCTTCATTATGGCAAACCTTTTCGCTCTACATTCAATCAAATTTGTTTTTTGAAGAATAACCACCCTTAAAGCTTTTCAAAGAACATGTATACAGTACATAAGAAGTCTGATATACATACTGCTCGAAAGAAACCCCTCTTATTAAAATCAACGGGGGTATAGATAGCAATATTTTGAATAGTTTTCGTACACTATTACTACTTACTAACAAATTTATTATATGATTACGAGATACACGTTTACGTTATTCCGAAAGAAGCCGCGTAAAGTTGTCATAACACACATAAACATCCAATCAATTGCTTGTATTTATAAATAATAAATTTGAAAACAGCTTCTGATATAGACTGAATTCAATCACAGATTCATTTGAAACCAAGGTGTACTAAAAAGCGATTTCATTCTATTTTAGAATGTCTCAAAAAATAGCTTGATGAAGTCATAATCAAGAGTTCTTTGCTAAGAGGAAACCGCTGTGCAATCCACTATGGCCCTCTAGTTGATATTATTCAACGATGAAATCCATACTGAACAGTTTCAAAAATCCCACTAACTTAACAATCAATTTGACACGATTTTAGTGTACGGAACTTAACATGTTTACATCAAATGAGTGTAGTTTATAGAAACTATAGGTCAAGGTAATTAAAAATTTCAACATTATTTGTATCAGTCAGAATTTATGAACGGCTGCTTCAAGTGTCGTCATCAGCAAAACTAAGCGGTAGAGAACCCATCAACACCTTGGTCAGAACCAGGGAAATCATACACACGACTACATATCGACTTTTCCACCCCAATAAAGTGTAACATATCTTGTAATGGTTAATGGCTATTGAAAATAGCCAGAAATTATCCGTGTGCACTGACAAAATTTTTCTAGTATTGACGGAGGTTTACTGCTGTAACGGATTTTCAGACACTATAATATTAGACAACGCGTCATGGTTCACATTATATATATATAAATTCAAAATTACAGCAGAATGAATGGTATGAAAGCTATGTGTACAAATGGTGTACAAGCCATAGGTTTTGTTACATTCGACACCTATTTGATGCTTTATCAGAACACTTTTTCCATTCAGTACAGAATAGAACCGAGTAATACAATACAAATGTAATCATATACAATAAATATCAACAAAGAAGAGTCAACTAAAAACTTATGGAGATGATTCATCAATTCTGTAGATAATCCATGTACACATTTTTTAACGGTTGAAAGGTTTTAAAGTGACACACCAGCAAACTGTGTTTCGAGGTCATTCTAATGTAAACAGTCATGGACCCCTCCAGGTGATGATATCTAATTCTACCTACGTTAGAATCAGATGCAACATTTCATTACCTGAAATTTTATCTAGATTTGAACGAACATTGATAAAAGTTTGTAGGTAAGTATATAGAACACATTAAAGATGAAATTTATGCGTTAATAGGGACATAATCATTTATTTGCTGATCACGGTTGTGAATTTACCAATCCAATGATAAAGTGATAACTGTCTCTTTATAAACACAAACCCAGTTTAAAAGTTTTTAGTGGATACTGCTTTAGCGAAACAAATAGAAGCTGAGTTATTTTGTCTGTTGATAATTTTGAAGAATTTTCAAACGTCAATAATGTGCCAACTATTCATTAGATGCCGATCTATTGCACTTACCAATCTCAAATTCTTTGGCATGTGCTCTGAAATAAGAACATGTACTATGTTCGCTATTTTTTTAATGTATGCCCCTTGAGACATACATGTTAATTGATAAATGTAGTTGGAGGTACTGAGAAAAGAGGACCCGTTGATTTTTATTTGTATTAAAAGGGAAGTTCGTTTCACACAATGTGATTGGACCTGGTACTGGACAAATATTCTTCATTGCAGCATTTACTCTGTGAATAATTCTACCAGTAGTTTCGGCTCCTTTGAATTAAAGATATAGGGAGCAGGCTATCTTTTCAATTGTATCGTAATTAATGCATTTTTTTAAAATTTTAGCATGCTTCTCAATGAATTTCAGTGGGTATGCATTTTGACTTGGACAGGTTTTGGTGAAAGCAAGTTCTTCTCTCAAGCTTTTCTAAGAGCTGAGTTCACGAGCACGTTTATAAGGGGTTTTTACAATTCCATTTTTATAGCTTATTGGACAGAGGGTGTTGTAGTTCAGATAAGTTACACTCTATGTGTTTTTGCGACAGATGTGTCTTTTTGGTTTGACATTTGGAGTTTGTTCCAACATCTAGGAAAAACTGATGATCTATAGTAAATTCTATATCGTTGTATACTTTGCTGAATAGATTGAGGAGATATGTGGAATGCTTCTGATTGTAGCAGACAAGAAATGTATCATCAATATATCTACAGTAGAATGTAGTTTCATCAATTATATTTTAGCTTCGTCTGTTCTAGACATAATAACACAACTTCTTTTTATTTCGCTGAAGCAGTAGCCAATAGAAAACTTAAACTGCATTTCACTGGTTGAAATCACGAATCAATTGAAGCTAGATCACCATGGAAAACCTGGAAGCATTGGACGACCGTTTCGTCCTAGTATGGGACTCCTGAGCAGTGCGTATCCACGATCCCGCCCCCCGCGAGATTCGAACCCAGGACCTATCAGTCTCGCGTCAGGCGCTTAACCAACTAGACCACTGTATTTGTTTCCAGAAAGACATAGATATCCATTTTATCATTGGATTGATTAATTTACAATCTTGATCAAAATCACCTGTCATTATTATCATTATCATTGCATTGAATTTATTTCGTTATGTGATCCTCGTTAATCTAATTGTTATTTCATTTACGTCAAAACTCTCTTCATCTGTGTTTTTTATTTACCTAATTCTTAAGAAGTCTATCGACTCTTCCAAACTTTTTATAATTATTACGTAACCCATCGAACTTATCAGTTTGTTTGTTTGTTTGTTTTTACTTGTACCACCATTAATGAAAAGATCTTTTCACTGTGATAATTTGTTCTGTACAAGTCCTGTTTCTGACCGTAAGGATTTGAAATGATTAATTTATCTCTGTTTATGTCAATATCTAAGAAAGTAAGTTGATATAATATATTAATGACTGTCATATGTATACATGAACACAACCATATCTACACTGATTAATACATTAAATTTACATATTCCGAAAGCGTATTAAGGACAAAAATTAAAAAAAACTTTAACAAGATCAGAATTGTTGACGAGAATCTTGTAGTATGGTTTAAAAAAGTGGAGTTTTTGATAAGGATATCTTTCTATCATCATTAAATGCATTTCAAGCAGAAAGTAATGTAATAGAGAACCTTACACAAGTCCAAGTAATAAACATACCAATCATCCAAAAACTTATAAACACAGAGAATACGATTTGAAATGAATCAAATCACTGACAGGTTAGATTCAAATTCACGATAAATAGTAAGATGTAGAACGTGTATATTTGTATTACTGTCAGTGATTTTAGCCCATATCATCTGATTCTTCACCTATTGTCTGCGATTATTGCGCAAACCTCAAACAAAGAAGTCTTTCTCTTCACAAGGGCCAGATCAACACACAACGATTTCATGAACTAAAGCCATATTTTGGTTTGACTACTTCTCACTGCTTATATACAATTCAGAGCGGTGCCATAAATAGGAAACGTCCAGGCATACGCAACACAGGTTCCAAATATGAGTCATAGTTTCAGATGTCAGGTCAAAAGATCAAATAATCTCAAATTGACGAAATAGGATTCAAACTTGTTACTCACTGGTATCAAGTCATATACTTTTACCACCAAAACACAACCCAAAACTAGTTAGTAGTATATTGCTTACTGGCTGCAAACACTTTTTTCTAAAATGAATAATGATATTAAATAATCCAAATCTGGAAAAAATGTTTAATTAAAAAAGTTTCAGTAACCGAAAAAGAGAACTCACTCGGACTTAAGCTCCAACTTGTTAACTGGCATTGATGTTGTATTATCACCATTCATATCATCATTACCATTTGACTGATTGCATATTGACGGTAGTCTTAAGCTTGCATGCAATATACCACCTAAACTGCGTACAATTCGACCAGCTAAGCACCGATCAGCAGGAAAATGTGCAGGTGATAACCCAGACAATGTGATATGACAGTTAGGACCAAGTACAGTTTTTCTCAATTTAGCTATAATATCAGAAACGTGCGGTAAATATGTGGGTATAGCATCTGTATTTCCAGTCGGATTTGTTAGGCAGACATTTTTACGTGAATTATTCACAATGGACGAGTTTATTGAATGGTCACTAGTTAAATATTGAGGTGGATAGAAGAAAAAACATCAAATAAATAAGTAAATAAATACAGAATACTGTACATGATAGACCGTAAACTATCAGTTAGATCCAATCGAAACTGCAACACAGCTTGATTTTCGATCCAAACCGAGATCTCTACATATTTTGTCGGACATATATGAGAAATGAGCTCTCTAGTTTATGGAGAAAAAGGAGTAGTTAAGAAAACACCTCTTTGTACATGAATCAAACGTTTCCAGTAACGAAACGTAGAAATTTGAAGACAATGCAATGTCAGAACGACTATCAATCTCCTATGTTAATGAAAACATTGGACCGGTGAAATCTACTGTTATATCTGATTGTACGAATATTATCTGAACGATTGTTGACGAACTTCAATTTTTAAAAAACCCATCCGTATACAGACTGCTCTGACAAATTATTTGGAGCTGAGAAAACTATGACATTTTTTAAGTTGGATTTGTGAGAATAACTCAAGATTTCAACGAAACTTGTTTTTCTTTCTTTGTTATCTTACTTATCAGAGATTGAGGTAGCTATTAGGGGAATAACTTGAATAATTTTGGTGTTGTTACAATATGTTATTGTGTTTGGCATACTGGAATAATTTTAAAAAAGTAATTCACCTTCACCGCAATCTACAGTTAACATTTTCAACAAACAAACGAACAACAGTAATACCTGCCCCTTAATCATAAAAAACAATGATGTCTTTGCAACATCAAGAATGAATAGAAGTGGCTTTTGCTTAATCAAAAAAAGTCAAAATTGAAATGTTCAATTCATTGGAATACTTAAAAAATGTATCATTATCTTTTATTATTTTAACAATCCATCAAAAGCTCGATGGATCAGGTTTAACCATGATAATGTTACCACCTGCTAATACCTACCTGTGTTTATTCTCTGGTGATTTTGTCATCAATGTTGTTTTATGATGATTATAATGACCAGTTTGCCATAGATCATAAGTTTTAAAATAATTTCGATGAATTCTCAATAGAATCTCTTGTAAACGTAATAAATAATCATCATCTGCAGCGTCTATTTCTATTTCTATCTCTTTTATTTTCGATAATGAATCATGATCATTATTATTATTAATATCATTCTTGTCATGATCATCATCAACAACAACGGTAGTTGTAGTGGAATTATCGTTTATATGGTCTCCAATATTATCAGTTGATTTGGATAAGTTTAGTGTGACATTTGCACTAGTTGATTGAGTTTGACAAAATTCAATATCATTATTATCAGTAGTAGTAACAGAAGCATCATCATTAGTCCTAGATTCATAGAATCAAGATAGAAAAATAAAGTATATATATATATATATATATATATATATATATATATATATATATATATATATATATATACATATATATATATATATATATATATCAGGAGTTCGGTTCGTCAGTCAATCAGCCATAAGCAAGGGTTTCAGTCCGTGAGACCAACAACGGAAAAGTATCAACTTTTACATATAAAATCCATACGTGTTGCAGAAGTTAGCGACTATTAGGACACAGTAGCTTAGGGAATAATGCACTAGTGTTTGAAGCGAAAGAAACGAGGGTTTTCATCTTGGTGTGGATATTAACACTGAATTGCAGTTACAGCCAGCTAACAAGTCCTGAATAGGATGAATCATATGTCATAAGCAATGTAGAATTGATCTAAGTACCCGCACTATATCAGAACAGTAAGATGAATACTAAAGTAATAGAAGTAGTAACATCAGTGCTAGACGGAAAGATTTATGAATAAAAATACGATTCGAGCAGATAGAATGACTACATTTCTAATAGAACCCTCATTGTTAATGTTTTAGTATTACTATGAATTTGAATTTGTTATTGTAGTCAAAGAACATACATGAAGAGGATAATATACAAATTACTGTAGTAGTGATAGTACTTCTTGAATTTCTTAGTAATTAGATTTGTGATAAGGTTATAAGCATTATATGAGAGCACAGGTAAATACATTCGGCTATCATTTACAAAATTAGTCAAATAAAATACCCCAAAAAAAAATGAAATTAATGACAATGAATGTTGTCAGTCATATTGATTGTGATTGTCTTATAAACTAAGAAGTGTCAGGCCTAGAACTCGCCAAATCATAAACCATGTAGCACATGTCCTAAAGACTAATCTATGATAAAATACAAAAACCCGATTTGTTGTACATTTTCAACAATTTTAACATTTAACTCAATTTACATCCGACAATCAGTGAGATATGGATATTAATCAGTCATTCAGTCAGCTGCAACGTAGGACCAGGCACATATATGCATCGGTCCAAGTTGCCATACCTCATAATTAATAATAATAAATAAATAAATTAATTAATAATAATAATAATAATAATAATAATAATCTTACTTATCCAGTGTACAGAGAACCGGCTTTTCATTATTGCTGATAGCAGTTGTAGTATTATCCTTGTTATTTGACTTTGCTTCCACATCGTGTGATAAAATATTCTCATTAACTTCACTAACCTGTGAATTCATATTTTGATCAGATTTATCGATCAGTTGAACATTTGAACAATTTGATAACGGTGAGGAGGAGGATTCTGTGACCTTTGTTGAAGTCGATGTACAACTATCAGAAGATGACGAAGTAAGGATTGAAGATGATGATGGTTGTGATGACCATGGAAAAGCATTAATATCTCCAATATCTGGAAAAAAGCTGATAAAAAAGAATGAAAATAAAATATTTCAGAGGTGGTTTTCTTTGAACAATAATAACAAAACCTCTTCTGATAATAATCATCTGCTCACTAGTGACTGACTTCAAGAGGCATTTCCTAGTGTTCTAGTGAGAAGCCGTTACCAGTCGAGTTCAACCAGGTCGGTTGTGAGATATCAGCTCACTAAAGACAATGTTGTACGGTGGCGCAATTTTGTGGATTAGTTGAAGTTAGGCATTAACACCGTTGGATGCCGGCTCAGTGGTCTAGTGGTTAAGCGCTCGCGCGTGAAAATGATAGGTCTTGGGTTCGAATCTCGCAGGGGGCGGGATGGTGGATGCGCACTACGGAGGAGTCCCATATTAGGAAAAAGGGTTCGTCCAGTGCTTCCAGGTTTTCACGGTGGTCTAGCTTCAATTCACTCATGATTTCAACTATTGAAATTACTAAAATCTCCACAAAACCTTTTCTGATAAAACTGAATATGTTAATTATTTAGCAATAACCAACGTGGAGTCTGTTAATAAAAATGTGTGTTAGTCCAAGTTGTCAATATTATAGTTAGCACAATAAGGTGAATAGTAAAAGTTGAAAGAATAATAATGAGAAAAATCAAACGAGAGTATATTTTGAAAGAGACTGAACAAAAAGATATGTATGAAGGAATACAGGACCTCAAGATTTGGATCTAGAGAAACAGCGACTGTATCTGTGCACCAATGTGACTGGTTCTGGACCATGTCATCCAATATATGTGTACACTCAAATTCACAAGCAAAGCTACAATAATCAAATCCACTGGTAAGATACATTCAAGTGTGCACCTTAATAACTACAAGTCAAGGGAACAAAACTAGTGAGTTAGTAGCACTACAAAATTGAATAAGATTCGACTGAATAAGTGCTTATTGATGTTTTGAGCTTCTGGGAGAATAGGTATTTCAAGAGTAAATCGAAAAGTTTAAAATGAAGCACGTTAGCTACTACACTGCCACCACTAATCATCTACCACACATAAAATCCTATTCATCTATCCCACTTTTTCTATAAAAAGTTATGAGCTTTACTTTCATTGATGAGGACTGACTATTCGACCTTAAAATGCATATTACAATTTCAAGCAATTGGATTGATACTGTAATCATCAAACGGTCAACAATTAATAGGGAGAAATTTATCACAAACCTTTTACCTTAAGCATTTATCAAAATGAAAATACGTAGAGAAACTGATATGAGATTAACAGATTAATGTCAATGGAGTTAAATTCATCAGAAAATTTAAGTCAATCTGTAAACAACTGACAGAGGTTTCGTTTAAAAAAATCAGCTGAAATCTGATAAACAAAACAAAAGTGAGGACAAATCCCGGACTAATAGTACTGATCGATACTTGACCTACATTTCTACCTAAATTAGAAATGATAAAATATAATTACAACAGAGAAGTAGATTGGCACTTCGAAGGAAATATACATAGTTTTAGGGACTGGAAATTCTGAGATCGATTATTTATACAGTTTAGGTGGAATTGTGTCACAAAGTAAGCCCTAACTTGCAATCCCGAAGAGAAACTGAAAAGAGGAAGGCCGGAGAACACACTGCTTAGGGTGGCTCAGTGGCCTAATGGTTAGGTGCTCGCGCGCGAAGCCAGTAGGTCCTGGGTTCGAATCCCGCGGGGGGCGGGTTCGTGGGTGCGCACTGCTGAGGCGTCCCATACTAGGACGAGACGGCCGTCCAGTGCTTCCAGGTTTTGCCCCCGAATGCCCTGGTACGGCCGAGAGTGGGGTGAGTCCGCTCTCCCTCTCGAAATACTCTCACACGGCCGCGCGTATACAGCCTCTGCCAGGGAAGTCCTACTCATTGCCTTCTCGTGGCGGGGGTGTTGTTTACGAAAATGAGAGGACGAAAAGCGAATGTCCGGCGCTTTAACCGGATCTCAAACCAATGGTGCACATGGGCTCCAGTATCCTGCGGGAACAGATGGCGCATAAACCAATCTTTGGTCACCGGCTTCCATGGGATTGCATCTCCTTACGATGCTCCACTGCCTTGTGGGTTAGACCTTTAGGTCAAAGGCTCGGGGAGTGGCCCTCTAAGAAAACCACCTGCTTCGGTTTGGGCACCCGGGCAGTATCACAGCCCACACACAAACGATGAACTCTATGTCTTTGGCAACTACTTTTATCGCTCCGAAAAACAATCAGTCGATTCAAATAATTATCATTACTATTATTGTCGTTATTATTATTATTATTATTTCCCACATTATTCACCCTCTTTTATACTTATACAGCGGCTCGTCTTTGGTGGAAATCCGACTGTATCTAAACGTTCTCGAGTCACTGTCCGGTTGAAAATTGTATGTTACCATCGAATATGAGTACTGAAGCAGTTTTTCTGAAACCATGTGCGCCATTCAAACTGGCTGCCTTCAAAGTTCGCACACTTATGCAGGTTGGTCAACAGATCGGGCTGGCTATGTCTTTGGAAAGTCTTAATATTGATGTTGGTTGTCTATCCGAGACCCGTATTCAAGACTCTAGCGAAGTACTACAAATTCGCTCTACATCTGTCACTTCAAAAAGCTTGTTTTACGTGCGCTTATCCGGGGACCCTGTGGCATCTTCGTCTGGTCTTGCTGGCGTTGGTGTCGCACTAAGCGCTAGAGGTGAGGCAGCACTAGTCGATTGGATCCCCATTAACAGTCGGTTATGTGCTGTTAGATTAGAAAGTTCCATCAAAGTGAGAAGAAATCGGCGTGAGAAACGATGTCTTTTCGTCATCTCCGCCTATGCCCCGACAGATTGCAGCCCGGATGCAATCAAGGATGAGTTTTACCACCAGTTATCAGTTCTTCTCCAGAAAGCGCGTTCGACAGATATTGTAGTACTAGCCGGAGACTTGAATGCTCAGGTCGGGCGTCTAGGCACAGAAGAGAGTCGTTTAGGTGGCCGATGGGGACTCGTTGGTCGCAGGTCAGATAACGGGGACCGTCTACTGCAACTGTGCACAGACCACAACCTGTTTCTGGCTAGCACTAACTTTCGGCACAGTCATCGCCGATGTGCCACCTGGCGTCCTCCCTCTGCATCCCAAGCCTGGACTCAGATTGATCACATCGCGATCAGCTACCGCTGGCGTGGTTGTGTAAAAGACTGCCGCTCCTTTTGGAGTACCTATCTGGACTCTGACCATGCCTTGGTCTGCGCCAATCTTGCCTTACTTTTCAGTGGACAACGAAGTGACCACCACCAAAAGATTGATGTTAGCAAGCTGGTTGTAACTTCTGTTGCAAATAAGTATCGAACCGAGCTAGCCTCTAGGCTAGCTACCACTCCACCGAAAAGTATAGATGAGCATTGGTTGCAATTGCATGATGCCATGAAAATGGCGGGAACAGTCAGTTGTGGGTTTGCGAAACGTCCCGCTTTTAAGCACTGGGTCTCTTCTGGTTCCTTACAACTCATTGAAGCCCGTCGGTCTACTCCGGGTGACCGTGAGTTTGACCATAAACGAAGGATGTTATGTAAGGAAATTGGGCAAAGCTTGCGTAAGGACCGAGAAGCCTGGTGGTCGATGCGTGCTAATGAGCTGGAAGCAGCAGCTGCATCTGGTAACTACCGGAAGCTCTTCCAGCTCATCCGAGCCACTGGCAGCAAGAAGTCTGGTGTGAGTGAAACAATCTGCGAGGATGATGGGATGCCAATCACTAACATCCATCGACGTCTTGGACGGTGGGCAGAATTTTTCGAAGGGCAGTTCAACTGGCCTGCTGCTCCGGCAACATCGGTCAGACTGTCCTGCCCTCCATGGCCGGTGGCGACTGATCCACCAAATGAGGAGGAAGTCCTCAAGGAACTCCAACTCTTGAAGCGTTACAAATCACCTGGCCCAGATGACTTACCTCCGGCTCTTTTTAAAGATGGTGGTGACTTTTTGACTAAGGAATTGACGAAGTTGTTTGCAAAGGTTTGGGAACTAGAGAGTGTGCCAACGTCATGGGATGAGTCGATAGTTGTCCCTATCTTTAAAAAGGGTTCACGTCGTTCTTGTAACAACTATCGGGGGATAAGTTTACTTCCGATTGCGTCCAAGCTATTGGCTTCCGTCATTCTTCGTAGGCTGTTCAAAACCCGAGAAAGATTGACTCGCGAGGAGCAGGCTGGGTTTCGTTCTGGTCGAGGATGTATTGATCATGTCTTCACCCTCCGCCAAATGTTAGAACACCGCCATACTTTTCAAAGGCCAACAATCGTAGTGTTTCTTGACATCAGGGCTGCCTTCGATTCGTTGGATAGGACTGTTCTCTGGGATTGTCTATTGAAGAAGGGTGTGCCTGAGAAGTTTATTAACATACTAAAAGCCCTATATAAAAACACCTCAGGCAGAGTGAGAGCATACAACCACCTTTCTCCATTGTTCCATTCGAGTAGTGGGGTTAGGCAGGGTTGCCCAATCTCACCATTCCTCTTCAACTTTGCCATCGATGACATTCTGGAAACAGCTCTGATGAATGTAAGTAATGGTGGTGTGGATCTGTTGCCTGGAGAAAGACTTCTCGACCTTGAGTATGCGGACGATATTGTCTTACTGTGCGATAATGCCCAAGGCATTCAATCCGCACTTAATCAGTTGGCTATCAGTGTCTGTAGGTATGGTATGTGCTTTGCACCTTCGAAGTGCAAAGTACTCCTACAAGACTGGCAGGATTCCAATCCTGTACTCACCCTGGATGGTGAGCAGATAAAAGTAGTCGAGATTTTCGTGTATCTGGGTAGCTGCATAAGTGCTGGTGGGGGTGTGAGTGATGAGATCAATGCACGTATAGTGAAAGCTAGAGCGGCTTATGCCAATCTGGGCCATCTATGGCGCCTTCGTGATGTTAGTCTGGCCGTAAAAGGTCGGATCTACAACGCATCGGTGAGAGCAGTTCTGCTCTATGCTTGTGAAACCTGGCTTCTCCGAGTTGAGGACGTTAGAGGACTCTCTGTGTTCGATCATCGCTGTCTCCGAAGGATTGGTGACATTCAGTGGCAACACCATGTCAGTAATGCAGAGGTTCGGCATCGTGTGTTCGGGCACAGAGACGATAATGCAATTGGTGTCACCATCTTGAAACATCGACTTCGGTGGCTTGGACATGTTCTCCGAATGTCGTCCCAGAGAATTCCACGTCGTGCATTGTTTGCCGACTCTGGGACTGGTTGTAAGAAGCGGAGAGGTGGTCAGTGCATGACATGGTGTCGTGGCATGAAAGAAAGCTGCAAAGGACTGGCTTGTGTTGGTCCTTCACGACTCCCTGGTTGGGGTCTGAGAGATGGTGCTACACAGTGGCTAGAGACGTTATCAGATATGGCTCAGAATAGAAGCCAGTGGCGATCCTGCTGTAACCTTCTTTTACTTTCTTCATAAAAAGTGGTTCTGTCTCCCTTACCTGAAAGATTTCTTCCGATTGTACCTTTGCGTTCCCTGATTACTAGCACATTACCTTACACCAATCTCTTCGTTATTGTTCTCTTTTTTGCGCTCCTTAGCTTTTTTTTCTTTCTTTGTATTCCTCTCGAATTTTTATTGTTTGTGTGGCGCATATATATTGGCGCTCTCTTGTACCAATATTCATGTGTCCAAATAAATAAATAAATAATAATACTGCTCAGGGACTTGGAAGCAGATATGGAAAGGATGAATAGCAACTGAAAAGAATTGGAAAGGAGTGCCCAGGATGGGGTTGGATGGAGAGTGCCGGTGGGCGACTTATGCTTCTCCATGAGGGGTAACAGGCGTAAGTAAGTAAGTAAGCGTTCTTCCAGCTGGATAGCTTAAAAGTCAAGTTCTCACTGTCTTTATATACAACGTCATTAACACAAACTTCAGATAGGAGTGAGCTACATTAATTTCCCCACAAATGACTAACAGTTAATTTTGTCAACACTAAGTGTTGTCAACACTTAAAGTCCTCTATAGCCTTACAATCATAACTCATCCTTTTTCGGATGTTTGAAATCTCGGATTATTTTACGACATGATCTCTTTCTATTCTTTTGTAGATATAAATTTATCAAACAACTATAAACATGAACGTACGGCTGACATCGTATACACATACATTCTAATTTTCTTCTACCTTGATCCAATTCTTGGCCTTATGGTTGTTTAAGAGTTTTTAAAAACTTATTGATAAATTGAAAATACTTCAATATATCTATTGACTGACCTGAGATCCAAACATTAAAAGCTTAACTAGTCTTATAACTAAATTCACTTCATGAGCTATACGTCTTTTCCGCCACGTATGAGGTTAAAAGTTTCTATGTCTGAGGTATCATTAACAAAAACGTAATATATCTTTTTTAGTATTTTCCCATTTTAAAAAAAATCTTCATTTTGATGTTAATCTGTGATGTGAACCTTATGTTCAAAAACTCCTTAAGCGTCAACTAAATCATCTGAAGGAAGTCAATACGTTGTAATTAATGTTTTAGACATACTTTATTGTTATCTATAAATTGGTTGATGTTTAAAGAAATGATTTTAAACAATTATTTAAACTTAAAGCAGTAAGACTATAATTTATGGAGGACCTTTAATCGACGCTGAAGTGACCTTGAGAGTGTTTACCTACTTACTAGAACTAAATAAGCATTATAAAGCAGTTTGAAGAATAAGGATTATGATTTACAGTTTATGGTTAGGGTTGGGAATTAGATTTAAAGTTTTCATCACGAACTCGTATCAGCTATAATACCAAGACCCTATATGACCAAACGGGTGAATGAATTTTGTGCCGAAATCCAAGATCTGTTATCGTAAATCTGATTGGTTCCTCTATAAATTATAGTCTCGCCCTTAAAGCTACCAAGGCAGAGGTATCAACAGTGTAATTTTTAAGAAAACCCATTTAACATCTACACGACTAGAATATGATATAAACAGTTAGAGTGATACAATGGAGTTCATAATAAATATATTTTTATGATATCCTAATGATTAAAAGTTTGCATTTCTGACGTTTCGTAACTTAGTGTGAGTCACTTCTTTAGAGAAAATAAATTAATCGAAATAGAATTAATGCAAGTTTAAATAGTACAGAGGAAACAGGAGAATATTTTTAGTACAATCAAAATCATGATAAGTCTGAACATGTCAATGTCATGCTATTTTTTGGTCAAAGTGATTCTGTCATAGAAATCATTGTGTTTATTGATGTGTATCATAATCAACTTGAAACTATCAAATCCAACCTTGATCTTGATACCTACAAACTGATACAGTTGAGCTATAAAAACGTGGCGTTCTTGGACAACATGTTGACCTTGAACAGACGGCCGATATACATGCGTTTATGTGTATAATGCGTTTTAAGTACCTTTACAGGGCATATTTTGCTTAATTACATTTATTATGGACTAGTTTCTGTGAAAAACCAAACAACAAAATGCAAATTACTGGTCTATAAATCTGTTTATAACAACATTTGTCTTAAACAATTGGTTATTCTATTTCATATTCCTCCAAATGTCTGCCTGAACAAAATGAATATGGTGTATTTTTGAACGATGGTGAACGCCGTTTTACTTATTATTGTCTTGCCATCGGATATCTTGTTCAGTTGTTAGGGGTTTATGTTAATAGTATGATCATATCATTACATATTATCGATCAACCGGTGGATATCATGAATAGACCTTGTACTACACTAGAAAATTGCATCCATCAATGGAATTAGATTTTTGTTACTCGAAAAGGTATCAACTTACCGATATGGTTTAACATGAATTAAATTGGAAGACCAATCCCATACTTCACCACGATCATCAATAATACATACTAGGTTGAGGCCACGAGGAAATAATGCTCTTTAATTGTAAATAATAATGATGAAATAAGAAACGTAGAATGGTTTAAATGACAATTTATCAAAAAAGAGAAAAAAATAATTTCGCTAGATGAATACAGAACTAAAGTACATATACTAACCTAATGAAACGAGTTCACGCTCATAATCAACTCAGATCATCCATCATCAGTGAATATCCTAATGAACTAATTTCAAGTTTTGGTTTGGCTATTCGTAGCTTCGTCAACTTAACCATACTTAAACTAGTGTTTTTTTTTTCATTTAGGAGCTAATTAGGATCAAGAAAACAATGTTCATGAATAATATTTATATTGAATTGTGTGAAAAGTACTGTATGATGCTCAGAATGTATAAAATGGGTATAATAAATTTCTTTTTGTCATCATCAAGTGGAAATGACAATGTAAAACACGAAAAAAAATGTTTAGCTATTGAATTGGGGATTCCAAATAACACATAAATCGATGAGCTTTTGTCCCAGTAGTCTTTGTTCATAGTAAAATACTGAACAAATCACTTCATTAATCTTCTAGATAATAAAGGATGGTGTAGTAGTGTTAAAGCAAATCACAACTTCTACACATGATTTTCCTATATCTCCTAAAACCTACAATGATCTTACAGGTTTCAGCACTTTTCTAATCAAATACACTTGATTCATACAAACTATTTCGATTGGTCGATATGTGGCCTGGGAATCACTAATTTATTCTTAATGTCGCTCAGGATCGGTCATATAGTATATATACCTCTCGGCTGCCTGCATTTTATTGAGTAGTATGTATCTAAGTGGCTCAAAGCTTTCTCCAAATGTGTATTTTGTAAGGAAAGGCCCAACGTTCATAAGGAATTCATGTTAGCAGATCTAAATATGTTCCCATGGGAATAATTATAACATGCTCTAATCTCCTAATTTGACATTTCATTCACTCATGTACGTTTCTGACACTAAATAACTTTGTATATAACTCCCAACAGTACAGTCACAAACTCTATTTTCTGTCCTTACAATTCATGGTCAACGAAATCATTAGTGTTTTTCACATGCTAACCCATCATAATCTTATGGAAAAATCTAAAATGCTGTTAGTTGAGTGAAGGCAGGAATCTTTTGTAACCAAGTTTCGTTATTAAGGCATATGTTCAGTCTTCAATGAATCTATATTTCCCGTTGACTTAGATCTTGTGTCATGTCGTGTCACAGTCAGATACGCCATTATTGCGCAAATTTAGTTGGTGACTAACTTTCAATAGTACTGAAGTATTTACACTTAATACAGACCACTGTAATATTGGTTTAGTGAATACAATGAAACTTAATCGATATTATGCAAATAATGCTGAGAAAAAGACAAGATATTGGCTACTGATAAGCGGTAAGTCGGTGGTGTGATATTTCAGTGGTTAAGGGATCTGACTTTCAATCATTAAGTCACGGGTTAAAACCTGGAAACCGTCCAATTCTCTCCGGGAAAAGAGACAGTAAAGTTGAATACATAAATCCATAACTAGTAAATGAATTATAACCTAAATCAGTGCATGGAATACTCGCTTTGGATAGGTCTAATCGTAATAATAAAGATAATAACCTTAAGTAGGATAGCCTTTTACCCAATCAACATGAAGAAGTTTAATCTTAACAAAGAGCCTAATTATACCATTTAAAAACGGTTAACTTAAAAAGTTCATAATCAAATAGTATTATTGTTACGCAAACTAACTTTAAATTTGCTGACTTTGTAACTGGATTAAAACATTCATCCCGTGATAGGATACGTTGTGAAAAATACCTACGTTTTGGATCAATCATTGAAGCAAGTTGATGTGCATAGACACGGTTACCAAAAGTGCAGATATGCATTTGATAATACTGGCTAAGACAATCTAACACTTTTTCTAAATGAGGTCTTAATCGTGTATGATAAACAAGTGGTGATCCTGGCAAACGATATCGATGTACATTCTAATAAGAGAAAATAATGTTACCAAAACATTAGTAATAATAGCAATCATAATAAGCATACAGACTAACATGAGTAAAAATACGGGATGTTCAAAAATCTGTTTTTGAAAAAATCTTACTACTAATAATGAGAAGCAGAAGTAAAAAGGTCAAAAATGTCTCGTTCTACAGAGAGAATGTTGATTTCACGAGAGAAACGGTTTACTATTACTGAATCTATTCCCAGTGTGAGCATAATTACAACACAGACTATTTACATTATGAAATCGGCTAATTTTAGTTTGACGACTCTTCAAGTAACTTCGTAGTATTTTAAGGCTTTACATAACAAGTACTCTAGCCAATACATCCCAACGACATCGCTTTGATAGGCTATTAGTATTATATGGAAACAGTGGTTGAAGGTACATAGGGTGTTCAGTGTACAAAGCAACTCAGTAATCAAGTTTTGGCTTATGTAATAAAGCAATGAGATTTACTGATTGTGTACGGAATACAGATAAAAATTAACTTCTAGAACCTAAATATGAAAAATGAATTTTAACCCGTGAATAGCCGAACCAAGTATAATTATCTACGAAAAATGACTTTCGTCTCATAAATCTTATGGTAAAACAGACTTTTAAAAGCCAAACTAGGACAATTATTTAAGTTTAGAATGATCAGAAATAAGTATTTCCATTAATAATAAACTAATATTCTGATCAGCAAATCAAAACAGAATATAGTGGAATACAAACATGTGGACTAATAGTTGGAGCTAAACACTGGAATCATCCAACACCAAATCTCCTATATTACAACAGTCCTCACCAAAGAATTAAATTCACACATATATTTCGTAGAAATACGTTATAAACAAATTAATTACTTTATATTTAAAAGCTTTTGGATCATTAGTTGTATGTATTATTGTCTGATCAAGATCAACTAGCAAAACAAGTTTTCGAGCAGCCAATAAACTTTGTTGATCCTGTAAAGCGATTTCATCTGCAACCTGTTTGAATACAAAAAAGGTTAATGATGTTAACAAACAAAATGCACAGAAAATCTAGTGAAAGTTATATACAAAATAGTATGTCGTAAACAACACACAGTCTGAATTGCCCCTTCAGGTAATTAGTTAGTCACAATGCAGAACCTTGTACGTATGTATATCAGTTTAAGTTGTCATACCCCATTAGCACAGAGAAATGAAATTGTCTGGTCAAATCTATGGGTATTAGAGGCAGTAAGAGTATCAGTAGTAGTGGGAAGGATTAAGCACAGAAGGTACGATTCATGAAGATATAAATTGATGAAATAAATAACAAAAAAGATTATGAGAAATTTAGAATTTCAGGATTTGGGGGAAGACAAAGAATGGATGCACCTGCGCCATTGCAAACGATTTCGAGCCATGTCATTCAAAGTCTATAACCATTGGCTACGATAACCACGCGGAACCCAACCAGTGGTCTATACCTTTTAACATGGCTCAGGCTAATTGTCGACGACTTCATCGACTGATACCATGTTCTGGTTTGGACGCCCATAGCTTCCTTCCAGTCTAGTCCTACACCAGAAAGCATCGTCCGTCGAAGAACCTTTAGATGTTTTATGATGTTACTTAGTACCTCGAACAATACTTTCCTAAGTAGAGAAGATTTACCAGGTCATAAACAAACTAATAAACCCAGTTACATATTGTATATTCGGAAGTTGAGTCTCTTCAGTAGCTCTGTGGGTTTTTAAAATACTTGGCAAATGTAGTATGATGTACGATAACCCTCTAGTTCGATAATAGATTGTTCAAGACAGATGTATAGTAAAGGATACTTTGAGGTAACCGGAATAATAACGAGAGATCAGGTGACTAGCTAGTCCATGTAGAGAAAATGTGCCAATTAATAGCTTAAAGCAATATGAATCTATCTTTTCCGTTTTGGTAACACTATATTTACTTATAATCTTATCCAAGAAATACAAAACTCTTTATCTGGTTTTATCTAACCCCATTAAATATGCTGATGTATTTCCAAAATGAACTTTATTATTTTTAGCCATTCTCCGAAGGAATGAATACGGGCCTTTCATCCGTAGGGTATTTATTCAACCACTATCACAACCATGACAATCACAGTGAATATTACATGTTTCGCTCCTTTCAGGTATTTTTTTGGACTAATGACCGGTATTCCACATGCAAGACAGTTTAACAGTTAGGTACACTGGGAGTACCACTACTAAGGGAAAAAAGATAAATATTTGAACCACAGACATCAATAAAAGGCGAAAGATTTATCCGCCTGCTTCAGTCTGGGCACACGGGCAGTATCGCAGCCCACACGCAATTAATGAACTGAAATTGTGTGGCGCATATATATTTGGCGCACTCCTGTACCAATATATATGTGTTCAAATAAAATAAAATAATAATACAGACATTAGTTTCGTAAAGATCTCAAAAATGGTTGACCAACAATGATCATGTTAGCAAAAAATGTGGTTCACCAATAAATGAAGTACAAAACGTTCGTTACATCTAATAAACAGTATGTAAGACGCTTTCCTATGATTATCTATTAAAACTAATAATAATAACCGCATTCGGCATCCAGATTTGTATCTTCGTAACAAATTGTAATTAAGACAAGCTGACTATCATAACTTACTGTTTCACTGACATGAAGTTCTGGGATTGCATGCACCATTGGTATACTAGCACTAGCACCAGTAATCCGTTCACCTGATATCCCTCCTTCTCTGAGGAGACGTTGAATGAAAAAAGCTAGACTTACCTACGCAAATTGGCACCACATTCCGCACACAAGTCTTTCATTACAACGTGATGTGTGCATGGTAGGAAGTTGAATAGAACACATCTTACAAATAAAAAAATTAGTAAAGATATCTTACCCAGGAACAACTACAGCACCTTCATCTTTCATCTTGGTTACCCAACCATAGCCAGGAGCTCTAATGTCTATCTTACCAGACGCGTCATCAACAAGTTCGCAGATAGAAACCGATGGGTTAACGAGTTGTCGACGATGTATTTTCCAATGTACAACCTTATCTTCAGTCACACTATCAGGAACACAAACTGGTTGCTTAGAACTACTAGTGGCAGTAGTCATTCACAAAAATTGAGACTACAAAATGGAAAGTGCATAAATTTTATATTCTGCACCTAATTATTAAATGTCAATTAAAAAGGATTTCCTGGGAAAATCGAGCACATTAATGCAATAAATGTTTAGGATGAATATATGTACTTGAGGTATGCATGAAAATAGAATAACTCTATGAATACAATAAAGAGTAAAGAATGTTAGTGTTACTAACTTCATTTTTACTTCCTTACGTTTTTGCTATGGTAGTAAGTGTAACAATTGAGGTCGGTATACATGTAGGGCCAGTGAAATCATTCGATACAGATCATCTGCCTCAGTGATCCACATACATATGTGCCAGACCCTGCGTTGTTTATATTTTTCTAATCAAAGTATGTGAATGCATGATCGATTGATTGGAAAACGAGTACCTTTACATTCAACTATTCTACAGATGCCCATATCAATGACTGAGAATGGTAGTCAAAGACACAAACCATATGGTTTAGAATCGAGATATAACCACTCGAATGGTTGCATAAAAATAGGGTTTTCGATGTGTCAGACATCAAATTTTGCACAGTCAAGCAAACCATGTTTTAATAGAAACATGGTCACATGCCTTTAACACCTCTGTGAGTACGCTAGTATTTCACTAACAGTATAGGCTAATCAGCTTTTAGATTCGTACTGGAATTACTTAGGTCTTGGATTGTGGTTAGATAGCACTTTGACATTTTATATCAGTTAGTGATAAAAACACTAAATCTCATTCTTGACCCTAATGTCTAACTGTAAACCCACATACTAATTTCTTCCACTGATTTATAATCTTCATTTAACCCTAGTAACTAGGCAGGGATTCTTAAGGTCACCTCAGCGTTGATCCAAGGTCGTCCATAGACTATAGTCTCAGAGACAATCTACCTCGATTGGAGAATAGACACCCTAATACGTCAACATACATATTTAGCCGTATGACTAGACGATGAAAATAAGTGCAAAAACCAATTAATCACAAGGCTTTTCTAATAATATGAACCGTATGAAACACGATAACTAAACATATCTTACTGAACTAAACGGTGGTCACTTTGTTTCTTGACGGATGGGAATGACTATAGACTGGCACAGTTGAAAAATCGATGGGATTTTTCATGACCAAAAGTTACTGAAGAGTACCTGCCTAATGATCAAAATAACTAGGCAACAGCAATGTCACAAGAACGCGAGACTTATCCTAAAGTTGTGAATTTCCGGAACATAACTGAGACAATTACCGTGAAAGTAGACTGAAAAACAAGATGTTAACGGAAGGCTAATAGAACATGAGACTTCACAGATTGGTATTTAAGCATCAAATAAAGTGCTACAGACCCTTTTATGTGGTTATGAAGTCACAGAAAATAAACCAAGATACCAGAAAACGGACATACATATGGAAAATTAAGCCGTTTGTCAATATATATTATAAAGTGTAACAATAAGGTCTTCCCTACATGACTAACAGTTACTGTAACGTATATGTTTGTAAATGGTTCTTAAAATTGTATATCAGCATGCGGAGATAAAGACAGTATATATCTGTCGACCTGTATCAATCCTTGTAATATACTCTTCTGTAATAGTTAGGTTTCTCTTTTAAATTATTTGCCGATGAGGTTTATACTTGTTCAGGTTGGTCATTCTAGAAGTTGGCCACATAGTGAACTAAGCCTTAAATAAGCAAGCTACTTGCAGAAACAGTAGATGAAGTTAGCATTCACAAGCTTTCAGAATAGAAAAAAGTGTGGATTCTAAAAGTACGCAGGCAAGCCGCCTCTTAGAATTTCGTTTTGCTTCTGCGGAGGAAGGAAACATAACCCTGTAAAATTCCGGCAAACTGACCGGATCCGAAGTAATATGGTCGTCCTGGCCTCAGTGACAATCGACTGCAATTAAACTGAACTCCGTTACCTCAGTTTGACAGTCGACTTAATGACCGATTAGAATGAACCGGGAACTATAATCCCCGCCACCTTTGTAAGCAATGGTGGTCGGTTTGTCTCATTTAGTGTTTTTTTCGGCTACTTTTTAGGGTAGCTAAGCAATTTAATGTTTTAATAGTCGAAATTCTGAAACTTGCAATAGGCCCATATCACTACAATTCAACGTGTAACTTATAAACGAAATGAATTAGAGATATGTTAGGGCTAGTTGGAATATGATAAGTAAAATACATCAATATAACATCCTATCCTGCACAAATTCTAGGCTCTCAGCTTCACCTTCCTGAATCTATATACGCTATAATGTATATATAATCTCACGTTGATCGTTTTCAAGTGGTTCGAATGGTTTTGGACGGAATAGAAAAAGCTTTCGCTTAACGGGCTTCCGTGTCTAGCAGCAGTGGATCACCAAATCCTCCAGGCAGGAACCTAGGTATGTTGACAATAAAAGAGGAAAAAGAAATTGGTAAATCATAGTACGATGCTGTCCTTGGTCCTTAAGAATAGGTCAAGTTGCCTCTTAAATGACTCCAAAGAAGTCTCTTTTATTAGTTCAGTCGGCAGCGAATTACAACGTTTGACAACTCTTAAGGAGTAGAAGTTTTGTCAGCAGTCCGTTGTACTATGTTGCGTCTCCACTTTTTGGATGTTACCCTTGAGGTTTGTATTGGGACTAAGCTTAAGTAGGTGTTTAAGGGGATGTACAGAAGTGCTAAGGATGCTGTATGCCATGAGAAAGTCACCTCTAAGACGCCTGTGCTCTAATGGGTAGAAGTTAAGTGATTGTGGGCGCTCTTCACATGGTTTGAATTTGAGTTCTCGAACCGATTTCATGGCTCACCGTTGGATACACTCCAGAGTGTCCTTATCCCTTTGAAGTGAGGGAGGAAATACTGTGTTTCCGTACTCTAAATCGAGACAAATGAAATTGTTGATGATTATTTGGAAAGTTCTACCGTCAAACTGGCCAAAAATGTGCTTCAATGTTACCAGTACAAGGTTCGCTCAAAAGGAATTTTTGTCACAATTAGCGTAAGACTTCAGATCGTAGGGTACCAACACTCCTAAAAATACTTTTCGACTCGGTATACTACTAGAGAGGAGTTTCTTAAGTTGTAACTGTTGTCTGAAACATGTTGCAGATGGACTACTTTACACTTTGAAGTGTTAGAGGTAAGTCCTTTATCATCTGCCGAACTGTGAGGGCAAGTCAAATCCTCCTGAAGTGGCAGTACATAATCTCGGTTGTGTATCTCTCTCCGAAGATTCACGTCATCAGCAAAAGGGAATACGCCCGACGATACCTGATGTGGAAGATCATTTATATAAATCAAGAAGGGAAGAGGTACTAGTACTGGGCCTCGGGGTACCCCAATAGGACACTCCATAGCCTGAGATAAAGTGAAGCTAACCCTGACCTTAAAATGTCGATTTTTCAGGTATGAAGTGAGCCAATCAATTAGTGGTGATCTGATACCCAATCGTTTGAGCTTATTGATAAAACACATAGGGCTGACCCTATCAAAAACCTTTGAGAAGTCAAAGTAAATGATATCAAACTTCCCCTTGCGATCAAGGATGCTTGTCCATCTGTCCACCGAAGTCAGCAGGTTGGTTATACAAGGTTGACCCCTCCTGAAACCATGCTGTTGAGGTGATAAGAAATTTAAGGACAGTAAATAGTCATGTATACATCGTATATCATGGACTCCATGATTTTTGAACGTATTGAGAAGAGAGCAACTGGTCGGTAACTTGGAGGTCCGCTGCATTGACCTACTTTGAAAATTGGTCTGACGTGAGCCAGCTTCCAAATTTCCGCTAATGTGCCTTGGCTGAGCGAGTGTGAGTACACTACGCTAAGCGGTGCTGTCAGGGTTGTAGCTTCTTCCCTCAGTATAGCAGAGTGAACCATATTTGGGCTAGGAGAAGTGTGTTTTCTTAGGTGTTGCAGTTTCTTGAACAGCAAGTCAGCGCTCAGGTTCAATTCGAAAAGTCCTGTGCAGTTGCAGATGAAGCTGTCATCAGTATAGTTGATGTGCGTCGGTTGAAATGTCCGAGAGTATTGTTCAGCCGGAAGGTTAGCGGCGTCGCCGACGTTATTGGTCGGGCCATTAGGACCTATCAGTTGGGAAAATCCAGTTTGGACTTGACGAAAAGAATCTGTATAATGGAATAAGTTTTTCGGATTGGCGATAAATTTATCCATAATCTTTATCTTGTACTGAAGCCAGTCGTCTCTTATAGCATTCGTGCATACGTTCCCTAAATGTTTGTATTGCCTGTACGCAGGATGAACAGTATCCGGACCAGGACATGTGCCTTCTCTTGGATGCCCCAGTTTCCAGAACACCAAGTTAGCACTCAGGTTTACTTCGGAAAGTCCTGTGCAGTTGCAGATGAAGCTTTCCTCAACATGGTTAATGTTGGTCGGCTGAATCGTTTGAGTGTACTTTTAGCCAGAAGGTAAGCGTCGTCACCGTTCTGACGCTTACTAAACTGGTCTGGAAAGTTACATGTTACAAGCACTGTGCTTCTAGCGACTAAAGTGGATAATACGATAACCGAGAATACTAAACTAGTCGGGCATTATATTTATTGTTTCATTAGCACAGCTATGTTACTCAAAGTAGTTAAATGTAAATAAACAAGCTTATAAACCCAAAACATGAACTATAGTCCAGTAAGACTGACTTATTACAGGACAAACGATGTTGCTTTAAAACTGAAGATAAAAGTTATTTGCTAAAAAAACATATTTTACAGTGCAATAAATATATCTCCACAAAGTCAATCATCGACAGTATAATTAAAAAGACAACTATTTCATTAAGCTTTCTATGACTTATGATGTTGTAGTGTGGTGTCGAGTCGCGGTTGACTGTGATCACCACTAAAAGAAGACTACGTGCCAGTTAAAAGATAACATCCTCCGTAGGCTAAATATCAGAAGGCAGTTGGTGGCTGTAGTCGAGATGTGTTTGTTGGCGATCTCGTGGTGTAGAAAGAATATTGAGATCGTGCCAGGTTACAAGTGTGGTTACTGAGAGTAACCAAATTCGCGAAAGGACACAGTCAACGGAGGAATGTATGTATTTTGGTACAGTTTAACGAACAAGCACGGTAAGACAATCCCGGGTACAATTGGTTATAATAATAATAATAATTGTTTCTATTACACCAATCGCGTTCTCTTGATAAAAGTAGGTCATTACAATGTCATTCCAACACTCAATGCTTGTCCGACTTAACGCAATCAGATGTGGAAAATAAAAATTTCGGCCGAAGCAAAACTCGCAACATAATTTAGCTCGTTTTATAAAAAAATACATCATAGTATGGCACTCTAAATGACTACATGAAAGTTAACATAAGCATTATTCCGGTTTGCGATACATTAGGTTGATGTGACAACGTTGGGTGAAAATCCGCTCATGATGATCGAGAAAGTCAAAAACAAATGGGGCCGCCGAGATAGCGATATAACCTGGCACTTAAGGGTGTTCATATTGCTGAAGTTCGGAACTAGACGATCCTCTAGGCGCTGTGGGTAATACAGTAAATTATCTGACAGAATTAAAGACGTGCTAAATGATCGAAGCCTACTTAGTAAAATGGCGGAGTTCCAAAGCGTGGCAGTGAAAGAAAATCCTGGTGTCATGACCATCTAAGAAACATGGTTAACGTCAGAAATGCATGATAAAGAAACTTAATTACTTGGCTCCTTACTGTGAATAGCTGACAGACTAATTCATATGGATGGTGGGGCTGTCATGCACACATAAAGCGCCTGAATCACACGAGCCGTCGAGAAAGTGGCACATGACTCAGGAACATGTGAGCTGAAACGCCGCCGGTTGAAACGAAAAAGGCAAGATAATGGACCTAGTTCTAGTACACATCTGTCTAGAATGAATGGCGAATGACTATACACTAAGTAAACTCAGACCATGGTAGGTCATTTTAATGCGCCGTCTACAAATCGAAGGTACTTAGAAGTAGGGCGATCAAAAACAGTATCTGATTAAACATTGTTGAAAATCATAATTGTCCTGGCTTTATTCCAGCACACGGGAGACTCCACCAGATATGACTTTCAAAACTTTGTATCAGAGGAAGTCCGGCAAGCATGCCGCTCAGCACCATATTGGTGAGGTACGATTTTCTCATTCTCTACCCGGTTACCACGTGCTTACTCACCAAGCTCTTGAGTCTCCCTCAGGTGAAAAATAAAAAAGAATCTACTTCAAAAGCAATGAAGAAAGTCAGTCAAACCTGAAGAACCGCTTCACTGCCTGTATAAAATAATCAGGTGCAAAAAGGAAATGCACAAATATAATTCGTAATTGTTCGTTTCCATAAAAGCACTTGGTTTTCAGGGCGAATTGGAAGCAGATAGACACGTAAACTTATTAAAAGAAAAAATTACTTTTTTTAAAACATATATGTGTAAGTGCGTTAATTTGCCAGAAGTTGGGTTCATCACCAAACCCGGTCAAATACGTGACGTTTTGTCTATGATGGCTGTCTTT